AGAAACACAAAACTCACAAACAGCATATGAAACAGACACACAAAACTAAATATAATACACTTGATTATGAAGTGTTTTAGCGTCAAAACAGAAACCCTGTAATAAATGTGTGGTGTGTCTGTCGCTATTAGATCAAACTATAAACCTTTTTCCACCAAAAGTGGTAACGGGGCCAGTGCCTGACCCATGATTTCACTGAGCCAAACAATGACGTAACTGGCAATGTTTCTACATAACCTGCCAACAAATAAACATGCTGTTTTTCTTCTATGAGTTTTAAGGACACATTTTAGCACACAAAGTACAGATATAAAAAATAAATCAAATTCATTGAAGTTTTTGTCACATCTGCCGTTTTGGGAGGAGATAGTGTTGTTAAATACAATGGGTGCCATCTAGTTTTGTTAAACCAGCCATTATTCCACCCCTGAACCACTTTTCTGCAGTGAAAACATACAATGGTTCCAGACTAGAAACCAGCTTTGGAACCAAACTGTTGAAAAGGCATTAGAGAAGATTGAGATTGATTGTACTGAAGTGTTGCAGTCTTGATCTATTGTTAGAAGCTGACAGTTAAGGGATTGACTAGATATTTGCTGTTTTTAAACATAGCAAACATAATTTCTCATTTAACAGTGAACAAATGTTTGTTTTTTTTAACATTTAGGAACCCATGTAAATGTGTTGTCAAATTTTTGAAGAGTTGAAAGCTATACAAACTCAAAACAAGGAAGACATTTAATGACTTTGACAGACTCCCAAGAGAATTTTCAGGACAACGAGTCATATTTTGACAAATAAGAGGGTAAAAAGTCTGTCTCTCTCATTATCTTTCCTCCTCCTAAGACAGAAATGGAGAAGATTTTCAAAGCAGTTCTTTGATTCTTTGGGGATCAAATCATAACATAACTAAAGCACTGCTCTATTGCACTCGTCTAACATTTGAGGGAAAAAAACAACACTAGAAAAAGAGAATGGGATATCACTCATTTATCTTCAAGTGCCCATACTTTAAAAAAAAAAATCCAATGGCAATTATATTCAGAAAAAAAGAGAACAATGAAACATCTTTTCTAAACTCAGAGCACATAATGGTTAATGTGATCAAATTTGAGTCATTTTTGTGAATTTTGTGACTATGGCATATTTAATATTGTGGCCCACTAATTGCTCATTACAGTGTTTGCCACACAAATTACTACAACTTGCTCTCCACAGTAGACATTAGTAGTAGTAGATATTTTGTAATGCTAAACCAGTAATAGAATCAGAGGTCCTCTCTAGCAGTCAAACATCTTTGGCTACATTCACAGACTGTGAAAAAGAGCAAATTATTTCCTTAGCACATGAATAATGTGTATTATTAAATTACCCCAACACACCTAGATGCACACAAACGTGAGTAAATGCTTACACTCACACAGCAATAATAACAGCAGAACGCAGACGCACTGAAGCTTTACTGCGGCTCTAATTAAACAGCCTGAGGAAAGTACTGATCAAATAACAAAAACTTAAATCCAATTATTGCACTGTGTGTGCATGTGTGTGTCTATAAGGCATTACTGAACATTTCTCCAACCCACAAAGAAAGAGCATTAATTAAGATAGATAAATTACATTTGCAGGTACACCATTTTAAGAGCATGCGGTTTCAAACTAAATATGCATCTTGCATCAGATATATTGCATTAATACCACTTGGTTCATCATATAGAATGTACAAAATAAGGTCAATGGTCTTCTCATATGCATTAAAAGAAGGATGATTACCATTTTATATCAAGTAGATGCACAATAATGTGCAAACTGTATGGCGAAAAGCGAAACTATTGTGCACTGCACAGTATTAAAACAATGAACGGTCGAAAGTGTAATTTTAACTAATCTCCAAGAAAATCTGATGATTCTCAATACAGTTTTGATACCACAGTAAAACGTAATATACTAAAATATTTACAATAAGGTTCAATTATTTAACATTAGTTCATGCATTAGGTAACACAAGTACCAAGTGAATACATTGATCTATACTACTACAGAATTTATTAGTTTTTGTTTGTTAATTTCTGAAAATTCACGTTGTATAAATCAACACTAGTTGATGTATCATGAACAAACAATATTATATTTATGAATTAACATTAACCTAGATTAATTAAAAGAAAATAATTAAATAACTGAACCTTTTTGCAAAACATTACCTTTATGTTTGCTCACCAATGGATCCTCTGCAGTGAATGCGTGCTGTCAGAATGAACAGCTGATCAAAACATCACAGTAATCCTTCTATAATAATTATTTTTAAGCAGGAAGCTGCACAGATCAAGCTCCATTTACAAATGACAACAACCCAAAACAGTTTTAAATGAATATGTTGGTGGTGGATTTAGGTGTGAGAGGACAACACTTCCATTGGAGAGTTATTGAGGATTATGGACTGGTATTTTGGGCAGAAGCAACAACTTAAAGCTAAACTAATGGATTAGTTTCTTACAAACATGCAAGACATTAATTGATGGACTGGAATCATGTGGATTATTTGTAGGTTGCTGTGATGCTTTTATCAGCTGTTTGAACTCTTATTCTGATGGCACCCATTCACTGCAAACCACTGGTAAGCAAGTTCTGTAATGCTAACTGTCTCCAAATCAAAAAAAAAAACTCCCCTACATCTTGGATGGCCTGAGGGTGAGTACATTTTCAGCCATTTTTCATTTTTGGTTGAACTATTCTTTTAACCAAGTAAAAAAAAAATGTAGTGTAGAATTTTGAAGTAAACATTGCTTCAAGATTTAAGAAATCACTGAAGCAAACAGTCAGTAATATAAAATAAAAATATAAAGCCATTTATATATGTAACAATAAACAAAAGTGCACTATGAAGTAAAGAACGTGCACAAGGGTGTATTTCAAGGCATTATGAAAACATTCATTTGATTTACTCTCATATACTATGCAATCTGTCTGCAAGTTCAAAGTGTTACCTGAACTTGGCTCATCTATAAAAATAAAAAAAACCTCTTCAATCTTACTTAATCAACTGAGAGTATACAGAGAAGTCACATCTCAGGGGCTGACACCAAGCTGCAACCTCCCGCTCTCTCTCTCGTGAAGCCAACAAGGAGTAAACTGTAATTCATCAACTGGCCGCTAGAGGCTGGCTGCAAAAGGGAGTCAATCCCATAGACTCTCCATGTTAAAATGCCCAACTTTACAGCAGAAAAAAAACATGTTTACAGCCTGGTTAAAAAAATTATTTTGGTCTATATAGCAAATTTTGCCCTTCATGACAACTGTGAGGGGGGTGAAGTTTTTTATAACTCGTCCGTTTAAATTATATTAAGCCTTAAAGTTCTGCATAATTAAGGGCGTGGCCACTTGAGTGACAGGTGGATTGCCGCTGCTATCACCACCATCGAGCTAGGTGAGCGTGACTCAGCAACCTGCTCCCGCCTCTTTGCCCATTTTCGATTATCCGGGAGTGACGCGCTGCCAAGATGACTTAGCCAAGATACCACTTTTGAGCTTCAAAAACGCTCTTCGGAAATCTACGGGTGACGTCACGGACACTACGTCCATGTTTTTATACAGTCTATGGCTGACACTCAACATACTAGCGTACTTGTTACCAGAAGAAGTGTACTCATGTCAATTTCCTTGATTGAGTTATTCTAGGTCATTGTTTTTCTCTACTTCCTGCTGTTAAAAGTAAAAATGCCATATTCCTATATTGTAGGAACACAGTCATCTGCACCCACCTTACCAAATGCAGTTACTGACTGAAGAGGATGTGATGACCTGTGGAGACACAGATGCACTTGAAGCTGGAGGAGCTGCTGAGCTGGTTCAGATGAGGTTAAATACAAAAGCAGTTCTTCAGATGCCTGACCTCGGCCTTGGGGATTAAAGTCCTTCTTTTGATTTTCACGCTTCTCACTATTGTGAGACGAACAACAAACCACCAACTGTGGTACGAAGCTTCAGGCTCTTCTAACCAACGCATCTTTCTTTTATGAAAACCCCTATAGTAAATTGTCAAGGCAGCGCTTCAAAGTCATTCAAAATCCCATTGATGTTAATTTCATTGTTTTATAATTGAACAAAAAAGCCTTTGAGTGCTGGTATGTTTTATCTGTAACATCTGCTCGGCATAGATAGAACCCTAAAATAATCAAGTGACCATAAAATCAACACATTCAAACTAACTGTAAAACTACAACAAAGATATACTCAAGTCTTAAGTTTACTGTGTGTAATTTCCTAGTTTCCTTCTGTACTTTCTACTATTCTTCAAGTTTGTAAGTTTGTTTGTAAGTACTTATCCCATGCACGTCATGACAATGTAATCAGGGTATCTTCCGATCATTCGTCTGTTAATTTAATATTGAAATCTGAAAAATTAAAAAACGGCATTTTTTGTTTTTCATTTGTTCAAACAAAACGAAAAATCAAGAATTAGGCTTAATTTTTCGTTTTTACGTTCAAGGCTAGAAAACGAATAAGCAACTTGAATATTCGATCTCTACATGTGGGTGGGAATGAAACACCCCTATCCTCTGATTGGACAACCAAATATTTAATAGTCCTAAAAAAAACATAACAAGAGTCCTCCGCTTTTATGGATTCTTAACGTGCTTATTTCTACTACATATTATCTCTTTCTCTTCATCAAACAGCCAGATTAACAAATTAACAACATTAACATTATGCTGTAATGTTTGGTTGACCAATCAGCGGAGAGGGGCGTTTCATTCCACATGTAGAGATCGAATATTCAAGTTGCTTATTCGTTTTCTATCCCTGAACGTAAAAACGATTCTTGATTTTTCGTTTTGTTTGAACAACTGAAAAACGAAATATGTGCTGTTTTTCATTTTTCAGATTTCAATATTAAATAAAAAAACGAATGATCGGAAGATACCCTGATTCAATGTGTCCATGTAAACACATTTCTCTATTGGTTATGCAGTTTCAAACACGTTTGCATATGAATTTACCTTAAACAATAATGAATCCTCCATATGCTCAGCGTACACCGAAGTGAGCCGGTACTGGTTCTCCACGGTGATGTCGATCTGGTACCCGGTAAGTACGTAACAAGCAGTACGGAACTCTTGAATCTTCTTCTGGAACACTTCCTTCAAGCGCTGGTTCTTCAGTTCTGCACTCTCCATCTGCTTACGCAAGTCTGAAGAACACATAGGTTACATTTAGTCATAACCAGAAGAACATTCAAATAATATGAATAATATGATCTGAACAAGAGCAGCAATTTAACATGTAATCGAACACATGCGATTACAATATGTAACGGAAAATAATTAGTTTAGACTATTCGTACAAATACCTAATTTTAAGAGTCTTTAATTGAAAGAAAAGCCCAGCAGTCCAACTTCATCTAAAAGAAAGAGTTCTATCATCCTTTATTCATTTGTGCACTATATACCACGCCTTTTGAAATCAGCTTTGGGTGAGAAACAGACTAAAAATTTAAGTCGCTATTAAATGATAATCTTCCTCTCCAGTGAGCTGAACTCAAAGTGGATTAGTTTGCTTCATGAATAAATGATTCAGACTGTTTTTCTCAAATGGCCCAATTGAATCATTGAAAAGATTCAACTCAAAAGAAGGATTTGTTCATTAATCAGACACTGTTAATTTTCTCAACAACCAAAATGCTGGTCTCCAGTAATTGCAGGTGAATCTCATGGCAAACAATATTTTGTTCTGTAAAAGTCGTTTGGACACTTTTAGCTCCAACTTTTAGTTTCATACATCCGAAAGATTATTACCATTTACAGCAGTATATCAACTTCATCAAAACGCACTTCCAATCTACCAATATAATAACTTTAATAGCCGATTTTGTCAAATCAAATTACAGTCCAGTAAACAAAAAAGAAAGGAAAAAAGGCACCAATCCCATCAAGGTCTTATCACAGTATTCACTTGAATATTTAATTACATACAGAACAATGCAAAGTTGCTCCTTTAAATTAGGCAAAACGCCAACTGTGTCTTACAGCTTCAATATAAGGTTTCTGTACAGAGGCCTCAAGAGCAGTTTAAATTCCCTCATGGGCCTTCATGAAAATTTGATTACAAACAATAAAAGTTCTGCAGGAAAGAGAGATAAGTGTTCTGCTACTGTCTACTGTAATTGCACACTAGAACAATGCAGTTAAACTGCAAAGGTTTCATTTATCACATAAATCAATGCATTGATGTGGTGCATACTAGAAGAGACGGCCTTTTGTTCAGTTGTCCTTTTCCTTTAACCATTCAGCAGGATCACTTTTAATTATATATGTTAATGTCTCCCTTTTTGCCTCCATGGGAAGCTTTTTAAAATGTTTATCACTTGTTTGTTTTCCATATATAGAGCAGGATAGAAATTTCACGCTAAACTCTCAACACAATCACCTTTAAAATGAGCTGCAATTAAAAAGTTCTGTATGTGGCCCTCATCTACATCTGTACACTTACAATTACCATGTATGGAACTTTACTGAAGGTGTATGAACTGTGTTGAGATGATGCCCTGTCAGGAATTTTTCCTGAGGAGGTCAGGATAATTTGTGCTTCACAGACGTACTTTATGATTTTAATCTCATTCAAATTGAATAGTGTTTTTCCTCATATAACCTTGGTAAAAACGATGGAGCAATTTTTTTTTAATCTAACCCAGGGGAATAATTAAGAAATTTCGTCTGGATAGGGATATTTATAACAGGATGTTTTATTAACATTTGAAAACCACAAAGTGAAAACCACAAATACATTGTCTTTATTTTACACAGCATAATTTATTATTTTATTGTCCTATATTCTTTTCAAAATAAATGCCACTGGTCTGATATTTTGCTGTGCAATGCAAAGACATTCATACATTTTTATGTGTGGCTTAAGTGTCCAAATACTTTTTTGGGCAACTGTGTATCCTGTTTAAATTAGAGGTGGCATAACCAATCCTGTTGCCTGAAGCTAGTACAGTACAGAGAGAAAATATGGATACACAATCTTCTCAGTAATGAGCACACATTAAACACTTTTCTTTTCCAGTTTCCATTACTTGAATCGTTTCTAATTTATTTAAAAAAATGCATCAATAAATAAATTACAAGCAAAAAAAATGGTTTTAAGTGCTGCGTTTGCATACAAACCCAAAAAGCTGTTTATGTACTTGTAAGAACTTGTTCTTAGCATTAGTAAAGACAACTAAGCCACAAAAAAAAAAAAAATAATAATGATAATAATTTTGAACTAGATTTGTGCAAACACATGAACTTATAATCAAACAGTTGAGATGGGAGAAAAATGAGGTCATAAAATGAAGGAGGAACAGTGTATAGCAAAAAAAGATAAAGAAAAACAGCAGCAGCAGCCAATTTAAAAGCATACCTCAGGGTGTTTGTTTACTCATGGGCCTGAGTCCTAATTAGACTCTTGCCTCCTTCGGAACTCATTCAAACTGATAGCCAGAAAAAAAACAAAAAAAAACGGGGAGAGAGGGAGGGAGAAAGAGAAGAGAAAGAGAGACAGCATGACACAAATAAATGAGTTCCAAAGTAATATAGATCATCAGCACACTCCACTCGAGTCCAATTAAACATTTAGCCCTGGATATATTTATAAATAAAATGTCTAAATCACTATAAGCACAGGATGTGGAATTAGGAAGAACCTTTTTCCACAATCCTTGTGTTGTCATATCCAACTCCACAGGTGGTAATCCAGATTGCTATCATTCTAGTCAACTGGATAAGCCACATCAACTTGTCAAAATGACAAATTCCTCCAAGTTGTATTTAATTCAAATATAAACTCACATTTGAAATTTATCTAGGAATAAACATTTGGTTGTTGGTGAACTACATCCCAATCATTACATTCCAAATGGACGTATACCAAAATTTAAATGATTTAAACTCTTGGCTGGAATAGTCCTTTATTTATACTATTTTAAGTAGCTTTTAAAGGCATAGTTAACCCAAAAATTATAATTCTGTCATTAATTACTCACCCTCATGTCGTTCACAAGAGTACCAAGATGCATGCTTGTTTTCGAGCAGAGGAATGCTCACGCATGCGTCTTGGTACTATCGTGAATGGCGGCAGGGACTGACACAGAAGAGAAGAACTTTTGAATAAAGTCATTTTTATTTTCTTTGAGCACAAAAAATATTCTCGTAGCTTCATAAAATTATGGTCGAACCACTGATGTCACATGGACTATTTTAACAATGTCCTTACTACCTTTCTGGGCCTTGAAGGTGATCTTAATTTGTGTTCCGAAGATGAGCGAAGGTCTTACGGGTTTGAAACAACATGAGGGCGAGTAATTAATGACAGAATTTTCATTTTTGGGTGAACTATCCCTTTAAGTATATGGCTACAGAAATTAAAGCCAGAACTCGAAGTGAACATTTATCAGTTTACTCTAAACAATGTTATTAAATACACACTTTTTATATACAAAAATATTTTATTTTTAAAAATACCCAACTTGTTCGAAAACTCTTTAAAGGGATAGTTCACCCAAAAATAAAAATCTTGTAATAATTTACTAACCCTTATGTTGTTCCAAACTTGTATGAATTTATTTCTTCTTATGAACACAAAACATGATGATCATTTATCAGAAACCCGAGGCAGGGCTGTATATATGGACATTAAATATCAACAATGCCATGTATTGGCTGTTTCTCTACCCTACTGTGAAAACTCCTGCTTTGTGTAAAAAGGTATTTACCCAGTATTTCTTGTGAAGGTGGGATGATGAGGGTAGTGTCGTCTTTTGTCACCCCACCACCTGCCTCAATTTTCCGGATTCGGTCCCTCAAGAGTTGACACTCCAACCTCAGCTGTTCCACCTCTTCAGCGTGCTGCTGCTTTGCGATGCTGGTGGGGTTCATTTGCAGGTGGATCACCTTTGTCTTTACAGGGTCATAGTCTCCCTAATACAAAAAGTTAAGAGAGTCAGAAAAACAAGTAAAGGTTTTATCAGCTCCAAAAAGACAAAACACTCATTAGAGCTTTAGGACAAAAAGGCATTAAGAGAGTAAGAAAACATTTTACTAAAAACATTTTTGTAACTTTTGATTTAATTATTCCAAAGAAGAAAAAAAGGCAGACAATACACTTCAGTGTAAATCTAATTACCATTCCAATTCACTTTTTCCATTGAAAGTGGAAAAGACTCAATGAAAGTTTGGAAAAAAAACATGTTTTCTATAATCCTTTTAAGACATCCAATCTGAAAATCAGTGCTTTTGAATTGTATTTTGCTTTCATAAGCATCCAAATTCATCAATCAAACAAACAAAAAAAAACATTCTCTCAAAACAATGACAGTGAAAATTTCATTTACAAAAACAAACAAAAAAAAAAAATATGTCTCTCATCTAACAAGTTTAGGTGAGAGACACTACTAAAGTGGGTCCAATAGCTCATTCGTTGAGCCATTACATACACTGTTGAACTACTACAAAACATCATGAAAATCAAGTCCAATTTTGTCTGAAGACTCTCACCCAGCAAAAATTAATTTATCCAAATTACCCTCCAAACAAAAGGCCCAAAGAAGTGATAGCTCATCCCTGTCTGAAACAAAAGGCTTTATCTTCTGGAAAGATTCTTCATTTGGGTGTAAAACTTCAGGGGTTTAAAAGCCTTCTGGTGAATTAAGGGCCCCATCAAAGAATAATGCCTTGATCTGAACATCTCATTACTGAGCAAATAACACCACCCTGAGCTGAAGACACAGAGGTAGAGAAGAGGAAGACAGACTGAGGGGTAAGGAGGAGAAGACATACGTAACTGCAGAACAGAAGGCGATGAAAGAACAGAAACAAGTAGAATTACTAAAAATGAAAATTACATTTCTGGTAATTGTTACACAATAACTTGGGGAAGAAGGGTAACACGAACAAACTCAAACATGCCAAAATAATCTGTACTCCAGGACAAACTACAAAGAAAAAAAACCCACAATAATAATAAATATAGAGACACTTTACATTGTTTTAATCTGTTAATATTTATATTAATATATAAATTCAAATTATGGACTTATGAAATTGGCATCAAAGATTGCAAAATTTCAATACTACTGGTATCAACTACTGAAATGCTGGTATTGTGACAACCCTAAATGTATGCACATCTGTCAAGTCCATGCGTACATCCCCTCTAACCTTTAAGATAAATGTAATACAGCCTGAATCATGAATGAATCATCGACAACAATAAGAAAAAGACTCGAAAAACCTTAAAGGTTAGTCCTTGGGCCAAAAAAAAAAAAAAACCCTCTTCAAACTGATAAGCGTTGAGTGGGTGGCATTATTAACTGTCTGTGAAGTCACTTATTTTTACTGTGACACTTGAAGCGTCATAGATAATGGATAGAGAAGAGGTCTATAAATATTAGAGCCAAAGTCTAAGCACATTAAGAAGACGAATGAGTGACGCAGCTCTTGAATTCCAGACTTTTCAGTTTGTTTTGGGCTGGCACCAGTGTTGAGGTCTAATGGAGCATGTCTGACTGCATTTCAGCCCACTGATTGCATCATTGAGTCAGGAAGTGAAAAGAAAGGATAAATGGATGGGAGGCCACTGATAAATATAGCAGCACCACAAAAAAATGACAGAAAAATGACGTGGCCTTACATTTACCCATTACGTCACTGATTATAAAGCTTATATTTTTGCCAGTAATAGACTAAAACTAAACCTTTACCCTATCCACCTTATTCTTCCTGTAAGAGTGGGCATGGCCATTTGTAATTTTTATGGGTCTGCTTTCCGGTCTCATCCACATCCAGCTATTTTTAGCTGTACAAAACAGCTCGTTTTGCTGCTTGTATTGCAAATTGGTGCATCTTACCATATTATTTTAATGTTACTCATAACCGGAGTCAATAATCATGCAGATTTACGTTACAAGTTTATAGAATTGTACAGTAAGAAAGTTATTTCCCTTAACCAGGAAATTAACGTTCTTAGAATTGACAAGACAGTTGACCCTGAGTGGTCAGCTAAATATCTACAGTGGATCTAAAATATGAATAATTAATTATAACTAGTTATGGTTAATTATTCATATTTCCCCATGAGCTAATCCGCTACATATCTTAATTGTGAACACTGGTTTGTAGTGCAACAGTTTACTGCACGACACATTGTTAATCTTCTCATTATTTCCCTACAGCGGCTAATGAACGGGAAGTCTCGCACATTCACAGAACACAGCTTACTTCCGTGTTGAAGAATAAGGTGGATAGAATGTGACAAAAGTGCAGGAATTTTCAGGTATTTGCCAATATAGAAACTGAATTTCATACATTAAACTACCATGAGAAAACCTAAACTGTTTTATAATATTAGTTTTAATTTGATATCTTTTGTTCACATTTTACACATCTGTAGCCGTTTTGGCAATGTTTCAGACTAAGAATAATACAAATAATGAATCTTGTCTTTTGATTTCTATTTCTATTAAAAATAAAAGAAATCAAATGTGATTAAGTATTTAATTTTCTGGATTATCTAAAAACATGAATTCAGTATAATTTCAAGGAATAGTTACAATATTCCATTGCAACACAGTACAAGTTATTTTATATTGCAGTAAAGATTTTAGACATAACCCCACCCCTAGTATATAAATATATTATACCAATACACAACCACATACCTAAACAACATAAATATTTAAACACTAGGACTTATAGTTGGAGTTTCCTCTAAGTGCCTCTACATTATTTATTGACTAACAGAAATAAATAAAAACACCACTGTGCTATTATTAAACTAATATATTTAAAAGCATATTAAAAGCTAGCAATCCCCAGCATGCCCAGAGTAACTTTCTACAGTACATGTGCCACCACTTGGTAAAATCATATTACATGTGAAGAGCCATCAAAACTCCTTGTTGAACTATGTTGAGGAATTACTTCCAAGGCCACTTATCTCTGGATAATTTTTTTACCTAAAAGTGGAAACAGAAAGTTGATAGAAAAAAAAAAGAAAAAAAAAAACAGGAACAAGTTGGTAATTGACTAAAGGGAAAAGATGGGTTTTCAGTGATTTGAAGAGGACTGACATATGTGGAGATTTTCAGGCAAACACAATATGGTCAAGTGCCAATTTAGGCTTTGGAGAAGAAACACACATACCTGAGTTACTGTGGAGACCAGATGCAACACAAGTGTGGCTGTGCATTCATAAAAACAAACCCACAGCTAGTCTCAAACAGAGTCTATTGCACATTCATTTTCAGTACATACCAAAATGCCATTTGCCAATGATAATTTGCCAATTAACAATTAGCAATGAACCCATGTTGGTTTAAGGAACATAGGTGTCTGATTTAACGGCACCTTTGAAAAAAAGCACAGATTTGTGAAGAAACAATCTTTCATATTCTATTCAAATTACATAGTTTTTTTATGCCAGAATTACAAAAAGAAAGCAAAATTACCTCACCAACATCATGTACAAATTTACAAGACACCTTTAGTGTCAGCACTAACAAAATATGAATGATATCAGCTATGATTATAATACAAACACAAGTCATTTATTTATTACTCGACTCTCTGGAATACTTGAATCTGATTGGCCAATCATAACATTCAAACATCAAATATTTATGAATAATGACCACTAAGCTGAGAAATTGATATCATACTGCAATGTTCATGTTTTGTACAACGTTACAAAAAAGGGTAAAGTTACAATAGTTGACTTGCTAATATGCACATTTGACAAGCTAAAAGCATGTCTAATTATGAAGTAAATCATAGCACACCCATCAGCTTATATCATGCAGGTCAGAGTATTAACCATCAGGCTATCATCAACCACCACTGAGGCCACTAGCTAATCTTGAAGGTGAAATGTGTAATTCTTTCCAATGTTAAAATACCTCCATCTATCTCAGTTTAGCAGAGACTAGAGCCCCATGATTATGATGAATCATAATTGTGGATTTTTTTCCCAATATTGTAATCAATGTTCACAACAGTGTTGCTGAATTACTTCATTAAACTCTACGAGTTTCCTTCTTCTGTTGAACACAAAAGAAGTTATTTTGAAGAATGTGGATAACCAAACAGTTGCTGGTAGCCATTGACTTCCATGCTACCAGCAACTGTTTGGTTGCTCACATTCTTCAAAATATCTTCTTTTATGTTCAACAGAAGAAAGAAATTCATACAGGTTTAGAACAACTTGAAGGCGAGTACATTATGCCAATTTTCATATTTGGGGTGAACTTTCCCTTTAACAGCATGAGAAACAGAAGTTACTCAAATAATGAATAAATTATAGATAGGGAACAGCATGACAATAAGAGACTGCACCTATCCTAATATACGGTAATCACTGAAGCTGTCACCACAAGTCTACACAGTTTTAGGCAGCAGTTTAGCGTGAGCTCAGTGACTGTCCGCTTATGGGGTTATGGACTCCCACAAATACTCCTTTTATAAGCAATGAAGATGTTACACAGCACAGGCAATCTGTCAAAGCACCTGAAACAACAACCCATGATTCTTAAGAGGCTCTCTGAAGTTCTTATCACTAGAGATGGCCACAGAGTACATATCCAATTAGTTTGTTACCGTTTTTTTTTTTTACTATCAATCCTTATATTTTAATTATTATTTGTTGTTAAATGAAAGTGTCACCTGGAGGTTATGCCTCTCTAGTCTCATCTCCAGAATGTTGTTTTGCTCTTCCAGCCGCTGACGTTCTGCCTCCAATTCCTCAATCTTCTGCCTGAAAAACAAACACATACACGTATACAAGTACAATGTCATTTCTTGTCCTAATGCAGGGCTGTACAGTGCGACATATATGTCGCAAGTGCTATGAAAAAACTGGTTTGTGCGACGAATACATTTACCACTGTAGCACACATGCGATACAGTTTTGCATGTTCATAACACAGCTGCTTAATAGTGTGAAGTGATTTTGTTGTGCTTGTTTGTGTGTGTGAGATTGATTATACTTGGTTTAGGGTTGTGCGATATGATGATTTTTTATGGTGGACGATTAAAATGTCTCCACAATCTGCTTTTGAAGAAATATCGTAGTATCGTGCTACAGCGCATATTCTATCAGCTGAAGTTCTGGCGCTGCCATATCAATATTCTGTACAATGTGACATACATTCACAATCACATCAAATGTTATTTCAGCAGTAGAGTTACACTTACGGGACACAGCACTTATGTGCAATCACAAAAGTATATTATTTGCATCTGAAGCTTTAAGCTTAAGCTCATCAAGCTTTAAGCCTTGCCGCTTAAACGTTTAATTCACGTGCTGTTCTGATGTGCTTCTGAGCGTGTACACATGAAGCGCACTTTCAAACAGAGCCTGATTACTAGACTTATGTTTAAGACTTAACTCAACTAATAAGTTGTCTTACGTGTCTGATTGATTTCGCGTCTAATACTGTCAAAAGCACACAAGGTTTACATATAAAGATAGTTATGTCTAAAATGAAAGTAAACAGTTGAGAGAGAAACGGATGCGTGCAGCTCTTAAAGCAACAGTAATAAACATGCTGCTGCTTGTCATTAAAGGGATAGTTCACCCAAAAAATAAATTTATGTTGTTATTTACTCACTCACATGTTGTCCCAAACCTGTATTAATTTCTTTCTTGTGCTCTACACAAAAGAAGATATTCTGAAGAATGTAACCAAACAGTTGCTGGTCCACATTGACTTTGATAGTAGGAAAAAAAAAATACCATGGAAGTCGCTGTGGACCAGCAACTGTTTGGCAACCCACATTTTTCAAAATAATTTTTATGTTCAACAGAAGAAAGAAACAAATTCAGGTTTAAAATAACTTGAGAGTGAGTAAATGACGGTATAAAAATTATTTTTTTTATTTTTATTTTGTTACCTTGAAAGGCTTTATTTTTTTTACAATAGGGAAGATTGGCTGTACTGCTCAGGCAACTTGCAAAATAGTAAAACCAACATGACAAAGAATCGTGAATCGTGATATTCCTGAATAAAATGGTGATATGATATTTTTGCCATATCGCCTACCCCTAACTTTTGCTACAACTGTTTGGCCTGTGCTACAAAACTTTCAACCTCTGTAGCACCAGCACTATGTGCAAAAAAAGTTAACGTACAGCCCTGCCTAATGTAATGAAACCCACTGTCAAAAACTTAAATCTCAAAAATGTTTTGGTAAAGAATGGAGGAACACAACCATAAAAATTATTTGTTCCACCATGAAAAGGTCAATAAAGGTAAACACAACAGGTTATGATCGCAGAGTAAAGCATTCCATAAATAAGTGTGGTTCAAAATTCTAAGACCACATTGAAAATGTGGAATTCAAAATGTGTAATAAAAGTGTGACAAATCATAAGCAAAAAGACATACCAAATACTAAGAGATTCAGAAAATATTGTTAATATTTAATATTCATATTCACATTTTCACGCAAATTTATATGCCTGAAAAATAATTTGTAATAAAAAAAAAAAAGAAGTAAAATAGTATGACTTTCACTAGTGGTCTCATATATTTAGTGGAACCTTTTGAACTGTTCTTGAATATCCTGTATAATTCTGTAATTTAAAAGCACTGGACAGCATTCGAGTTGGTTTAGTTTTGGTTTTGAAGATTACAATGTGGGGTCTTGGACTTGTATTCAATACAAAAAAATATTCAATTAACGTGTAAACAGCTTAGTGAAATGGTTCCAGGAGAGATTAAATGAAATTCTACAGAGAATAATTACAGGATCAAAAATAAAGAGGAAAAAGGATAAAGTAGGCACTGAATGAAAGCTCACATTTCAAGCAAGGCCACTAAAGCTAATGTAGTATAATCACATTTCCATAGTAATTAGGCAATGCTACAGGCCATGAAAAAAAAACAGACTTCAGTTTCAGTCAGTCTAAAGACCCGTTCACAATGCCAGTGTCTCACAAAATGACATGAACATTTCAATGAGAGCTGGCTATTTTCAGCAACATGAGTGGCAGCAACTGTTCATTGTGTGTTGGTTATCTATGGAAGCATATAAATCACAAAATCAAATCACAAATGTGACTTAATTTCTAGTAACTGTGCTTTTATTTTATTTTATTAATTTTACATGGAAACAGGCTTCCATAATGATCAGACGTGTATGATGCATGTATGAAATTTCATTGATCACATATCTGTTACCTGAGAGAGCTGACTTCCTCTGCTGTTGCTAAGGTGTTTTTCTCAGCATTAGACACATGCTGCTCTTTCAGAGCCTCAAGTTCAGCAGTCATCTGAGCAAGTGATTAAAAAAAACAAAAAACAATGAAAGACAAAACAATCAGCACTGTATGTCAAAAACAGTAATTTACTGTGAATCTCAGAAAAGGAAACACCTGCAGCCTAGCTGCAATGTTATATCTGTCTAATATCTTGACTTCTGCCTAATGTGGTTTTTCATTTTTTGCATGCATTATAGCACAAATTTTAATCAATTATTTATGATCAGAACGGTAGCTGACATAATCGTATAAAAGCCAAAAGAAAGTACCCATGGTGATGAATGTGACTTACCATCTGAACTTGTAATTTGAAGGAGCCTGCCTCCTCCTGGGCTTTAGACAGTTGAGTCTATCAGAGTGAAACAGATTGTTCCCATAAAAATAAGAACCAAGATAGTAAACCATAAAGTCAGTGTCAGCTATCAGTGTCGGATACTTTCAAACAGGCCAGTCATGAGCAAGAATATATCTCATAATAGTGAAACTTTAAGTAAATTTTCTTCCAGAACAGCACCTCTGTTACCTCACTTGTGAGAAATGTCATATAGCTTTTAAGTTGCTAAACTATTTTACTGATAAAATCATTAGAGTAGCAATAACAATGTGTGTGCAAGTATCTGTACTGTGTGTGTGTGTGTGTGTGTGTGTGAGTCTGTAAGGAAAAGAGAGCAGGAAAAATAGAGTAACGTTGTGTGCTTTCCATACATAATAAAACGCAAATTTGTGGCAAAAACATGGAAATACGTTTTTATCTTATTGTTTACTATATTTTCTTGGCCAGTGTCTTTGTGGGTTTTATTTATTTTGCTGTTTTAGGCTGTAAGGACCTTTGAAATAACTGAAATCATTTGGCGAAGTGAAATGGCCATGTAATACGGTCAAGACCTGTCTGGAACTACGTTTGACGTGCATTTCCCTGAAATAATTGCACACCTTAGAACGTTCGTCAGTGTGAAAACAACGGCGATCCGACGAGTTTGAAAATCATGCAGTGTGAACTCTGCATAAGGCACACCTGTGCAATAATCATGCTGTCTAATCAGCATCTTGATATGCCACACCTGTGAGGAGGATGGATTATCTCGGCAAAGGAGAAGTGCTCACTAACACAGATTTAGACAGATTTGTGAACAATATTTGAGAGAAATAGGCCTTTTGTGTACATAGAAAAAGTCTTAGATCTTTGAGTTCAGCTCATGAAAAATGAGGGCAAAAACAAAAGTGTTGCGCTTATTTTGTTCAGTGTATAATATATATTAGTCAATACAGCTGGACAATATAAATAAAACATATTTCACAATATGTATCACCATTTTGCTCATTGTTGCCAAGCACCTTACATTTTAAATGATTACTGTAATAATAAGTATTATTAAATAATAAGTAGATCAAGGCATGTTTTCCACATTGTTTCGCAATAAATGAACATGGTATATGTACCCCTTCCAATATTACAGTCAACACGCTAACAAACGTGATTCATTAAATTATTTATACATCAAACCCAGACAGGGAATGATAAAAACTAAAGCATTGCATTCTTAACGTGAAGAATGTAATTATCATAAAAGATCAACTAGTAAATTATCACTCATTAGAGAAACACTGTCACTCACAGAAATACAAACACCAGGCCAGAAGCAACATCTCCATTAAATGAGCTAAAGAAATGTGTAAGATTACATTCATAAAAATGTAAAAAGGTGTTTAATAACTGAAATATTTGAGATTTATTGTTCCATGTTTGCATTCCCAATGCATTGACACCGTTTTCGAAAAACAATGAGATGAGTAATGAGCGCTATTGCATACATTTATGGCAAGAGAATCATCCACACAAATTGCTGAATCGAATAAATCACACCTAAAGGCCTATTATTTTCTTTCCTTAAAAAAATGTATGTGGTTATTAAAATAAAAAAATGCAATTAAATATTTAATCAATTGAGCACAAACAACAACGTATAATAATATACAGCTACATATGCATTCCATATATATTACAAAAACATTTAAAAACATAAATGTTGCAGTAATGCAAACAAATCACTGGATCAGTGTTCTGAACAGTTTTTTGAAAGGTACATTTGAAGGAATGATTTAGTGTGCATTATGGGTAATGCAGTTCTCACCTCCATCTCAGTATTGTGTGCCTGGACTTTCTGCAGCATGTCCTCTGCCTCCTTGACCCGGAACATGAGTTGAGGGGAGTATTCACTTGTGGCCAACTCGCTGTCGTACGACTCTAATATGGCCCTCATTCCATCACGCTCCTGACCCACATACAAAAGCACAAGTTTCAATTCCAGAACTCAATTCAGGCCAAGCTGGGTCAGTACAATACAAAGAAATAGTGCATATAAAACTAGCTGAAACACTTGTAATTGGCAGGCTTCAGTTGTAATGTCATTGTAACATTCTACATTCTAATACAGGAGGAGAGAAGCAAGAAATATTAGAGGAGAATTAATGGGGTGAATGAGCTCCCTTCTGAGTCTGAGTCATCTGTGTAAATATCTCATTTTAGAGTCGATTAAACAGAAATTAAATCTAGTCTAGTCTCTAAAGCCGAAACCAGCAGGATCAATAAAACACTGTGATTCATTATCCAGAGTGTGAACTGAGAATACAAATTGACCAACAGATTAAAAACAAGCTATGACAAACACATGCCCATAAGCTCCCAAACAAGAAAGGTTGCAAAGGTTAATGTTGAATAACTTTCGCTAAAAGACCTTTAACAACAGTTTAAAGAAAAAGCTAATGATGCATTTGTGGAGTTTTAGTTAAGTTCATCTTATGTAAAAATCAATGTGACCATCAGATCTTCCAAGCAGATATAGTAGTGAATTTAAGAATGTCACATTTCTTCCAAAAATTAAAAGAAAACATCAACAAAGTTGACGGTGAAATTTTCACAGCAAATTTTATAGAACATTTCTCCCCTAGTGTCTCAGTGTAATTGACTGATATTAAGTTTTTGCAATTCCCATTATTTACAATGGTAATTCTCGTGAATGCAATTTTTAATGTATGAAAGTGTAATAAAAGTATTTATTTTAACAATTTAAATTATAATACAATATAAACAAAGCATTTCAACATATTATACTACAATATAGAAAGTATAAGTAATGTACAATTTAAATAAGTTATTGCGCATCATTAATTCAGTAAATGTCCCTACTGGTTATGAAAATCAAGCTTTATTTTCATTATCTTTAAAGCACAATATAATTTTATTCTCCCTATTAATTTTGAAATGAAATACAAAACAGACATGTTTATTACAAGACAGACAGACAGACAGAAAACAGAAAGAACAGGACAATGAAAGAATTTTGTCAAATAGTTTTATTCATAGCTCTGTACAACTTTTTAAAGGTCAAAGAGGTATCCGTCTTATTACCTGAAGTCATGAAAACAGTTCAGGTCTTTCTTTTAATATAAGTTATACTTCCTAAGGGGTTCAACACACTGGCACATATCAGTATATTCACACACATGCGTACTTCAACACACACACACATCTTCAAAAGCTATTTTTCTGCTTCCATTGTAATGAAATTCACCCTTGCTGTTATCTTAAACTCACCTCATTCGTCCTACAGATAGCAAACTCTCATTTAGGACTCTATTATTTTGGCACTGGCCTCAGAGTTTCTGTGCCGGAGAGGGAATCTATATGGGTGAGTGAGTGAGGAAACGAATCTGTGCCGCACTGCAGTTTTTTTTCCCCATCCCTATGGATCTTCATTTAACGGAGAACTTGGGTCAATGCTACAATAAAACCTTTTTATCATGGCTCTTAATCATAGCTTGAAAACTGTTAATCTAATACATTCTGAAGACAGCTAATGCATTTTTCCTGGTTTTGCAGCAGGTGAAGTGCTAAAATTGTCAGTAATGGCTAGTGACAAACAGCCTCCAGATTTTGGCATGTTAATACAACGAAAACGTCAAAGAAAAAAAAAAGAAAAAGAAATGTTTTCAGGATAAATATCCAGCAGACCAATAATGCAGTCTATTACTCGAAGAGAGAAGCACAAAGCGTGATCATAATTAAAATACAAATTATTGAAATGCGATAAAAATGACAATGCTTTCTTGTGATCTTAAAAACCTCTTGATCTCATGTCTAAATGTTGTTTTGTTTGAAATTAGATTTGTCGACAAGTTGTGCAATGCTATTACTGTCCATAAACTTTGAATTAACTGGACAAGCATTTAACGGAGCATACCACCAATGTAATTAACAACTGAATAATAGAGAGACATGTGAGCATGCTTGCTTATCTTTACTCTTAATTACTTGTTCTGACAGCTCTAATTTTCCATGTGCGTTTAGAGCAGCTTCCAGACTGGTAGGCTGGAGGTGAGGATGTTCTGAATGTCTCCAGTGTGGACATCATTACACTCAAACACTGACCTCATTAAAACAAATGCCACCTATTTAGGAGATTATTGAAGCCTTTGTTAATTACCAGTTTTCCAAGCTGTTCAGAAACAAAGAACAAGAGAATAATTCGCATACACAACAAGGTGCTGCTCCAGTGATTTATCCAAATCTCGTCCTAGCCTTTGGAGAGAACTCACCGTTTACACTGAATGAAATCAAATCAGAATCATTCTCACGCAAAAAATGTTGGTGGCCGAGTTTCAGTGCTTCCTTAGTTATTCTTGTTATTGGTGTTTCAATCAGGCTTCTTGTTCGGTCGGGCAAGTAAAATTCTATCAAATCTACTTGTCCCAGACAAGCGTTATTCAAGCCCTGTGGTTCCCGCATGGTTTACTTTGGCTCTACACATATTACAAATTGCGAACTTTATGTCTTCTTCACTCACAGTGACGAACTTCCGGATGTGAGTGTAGCTGTGACGTCAAAACGTACCGGCTCGGAACCAGGCTGATCATGTGGAAAATCGACTAATTCCGGTCCCTGTCCGGTCGACTGTTATCCCTCCCTTAAATTGTTTGGTCACACAAAAATTTAAATTTTTTTCTCACCCTCATGTCATTCCAAACCCATAAGACATTCATCTTTGAAACACTAATTAATATATTTCTGTCCCTCCATTGAAAGTCTACACAACCAAAATGTTGATGCTTCAAAAAGTTTATGAAGAGCCATAAAGAAGCATAAAGAATAAAAAAAAAAACTGATCTGAATTGAAGGGTTTACTCCACATCTTCTAAAGAGACACGATCGCTTTATATGATGAACACATTTAATTTAGGCTGTTATTCACATATAACAATGATCAATGCAAATTCATAAAGCACAACAAATATGGTAAACAGAAGCTCAAATGTGCTTAATGCGTGAAAACAAATATGGTAAACAGAAGCTCAAATGTGCTTACTTAATGCGTGAAAACAGGCCTCTTTCGTTTACAAACAACTGCTTGATTCATATGGATTTATTTTACAAAGTCCTTATGAACTTTCTGAACCATCAAAGTTTTGGCTTCATGCAATGGAGGGACAAAAGATAAACAAAAGTCTTATGGGTTTGGAATGACATGAAGGTGAGTAAATTACAGTTTTCCGTTTTGGGTGAACTATCCCTTGACTAGGTTGTTTAAGTTTCTGCTCACCCAACAGAAATCATTCTAATGTGCTAATTTGGCATATCAAACAGGTTTTTAAAAATGCTTACACACAGTTTTTGAAACTATGGCTCCATTTCTCAGAACTCCACACACAAAACCACAGAACACACACACATGCAAAACATCACACACATCTTGCAAAAGCAAACACTTCATTCAAAACTATTTTAACTATTCTAAAAATTTATTTTTACGTAGTAACTATACACGCAAACAAAATAATTAGCCATATACACGCCAAACTACACATAGATGTCAAAAATGTAAAACACTACTCGTGTTTTTTGCTTGTTCAGAGTCCA